TTCCTGGAACTAGCCGGCATTTTCTTTTGTGTTTGTCTCTTCTGTCCCTTCTTTTGCCTATTGGCAATGCTTGCTGCAACCTTTCTGCAATACATGTTTCCAGCGATTACCGTCGGTTTCTAAGTTTCATTTCCTTTTTTCAATAAATTTTGATCAGAAAGTTTTCTTTAGTCATTTTAGCTATTCACCGTATTTTCAAAGCCATCCTCAGAAACTACGTTTGTCTTAACTCTACGGTGGTTCTACACTTTTAAATTTTAACACTGTAGCCAACAACGTAAGTTACAAGTATGCTTACCAAATGTCCTGCGATCAATCTCACGTCCAATCGAGAATGAATGTAATACCACCAGTCATTCACACGACATGCGTAGTTCGCCTTGTCAAATGATGTTAATTAGAACACCCGTGATATAACTGTATGAATCTTAAAACAAAAGCACTATGTATTTATTACATACTAACCATTTGCAATGACATTTCAGAAATGATCTCCTCGGAAATGAATAAGCTTCGGCAATGTTCCGTGGAATATCCGTCATTTGGATTTATCGCATCACGTCAAAACCCCACTCTACCTTTGTGTTTAATTTGCCAGTACACTTTCAAATGAATGTAGGGGACGATGTAAACAGAACATTATTCGGAAAATGTTCATAAGGAAGAAAGCGGAAACTCTGTGGGTTTTTTCATAAAGCTGCGGTATAGCTAAGAAGAAAGACCAACCGGTTAGTATAGTGTGTGGGCAACGTTTCGCTTTTGATATAAAAGCTTCATCAGGCGGAGTGAACCAGTCGGGGATTGGTATAGCACTCATAGCGAACTGGGATGAGAATCAAGACGAATGGGATGAAGGCAGAAGGTCAATCGCATTACAGGTCAACGCATCACTCCAAATAGTGCATGGGACGGTCACAAGTGATCCGCGTTGTAAGCTCACACACGTAGGCCTTGTTAACGATGGGTGCTGGGATGATGTGATGTTCGTTATCTGTCCTGGATCCGTCCGCCGGCGCTCCTCAGACTTGTCGGGTTAAGACAAGTGGTTACACGTTTGAGAGCTTTGCCCCGTTCATTCTGTTCACGCAGCTGCTCACCCTGCTAATCTTAACCGCCTTTAGGGCGTTGATCGTATCCTCTTTCTAACGAGTTCGACCTTATCCAAGTCGATCTCGTGACCTGTGTCTATCGCGTACATCGCTACTGCCGAATCCCTAAGTAGAGCCTTGTATTCAAGCTGGTTTCTCGGTTGCAGTGTTATGCCTCGCTTGTGTTCTGCTAGCTTTGTGTGTAGCGCTCTCTCGGTTTGACCGATGTACTCGAGTGCGCAGCCTTTGCAACTAATTTTGTAAACTCAATTAGTTGTCCTATCTGCGAGAAGTAGGTTACAAGTGCACCGGAGTTGAGCGAAACGTTTGATTCTTTTGGAAAATCCCCTTAGGTTTTCTTTGTTTAGGACCCTTCGAATGGCCTCTGAAGTCCCATCTTTATAAGGGATACCCGTCGTCCTAATCCACTCCGTAGTACGCTGTGGGTGAGGATTTAAAATTCGCTACATCTGGCGCTACATTAATCGCGTCGGGAGTCCACCATCAAACAACCGGTTCATTTCTTATTTCCAGGCGGCCTTCCTATCTTATTCCTCTATGCACAGGGTCTGGGCTCTATGAAACAGCGATGAGGCGATTACAGCATACACATGCTTTGGGTGACCTGTACTCTATTGGAGTACACCATCTCTATCCGTCGGCTTACAATATATCGCGGTTTTTAGACTATTTCCATTCCTGTGAACTAAGCAGTCAAGCAATGGCAATGTGCCACTGCAAGATTGTAATTCCATGGTGGAATTTATATTCTCCGGAAGAGTGTTCCAGCGGTTTAAAAGCTGGTCTTTTTCAGCCCGTTGTATGATAACTAATGTGTCATGCACGTAGCGCCACTAAATTTTCGGTGAGCTGCAAGAGTCATTCACCACCCTCGTTTCAAAGTCTTCCATCTACAAATTGGCGATGCCATGACAAGTCGCTGTTCCTGTGTGTATACTCTAGATTGGAATGTGAAGTAAGACATATTCATGCACGGTGTCATTCTTTCCGTCATTTGATCTACCGTAAGCTTTATCCTCTCTCTCAGATTACCGTCCGCAATTAGACTGTGTTTTGCTATCTCCAAAACGTCGCATATTGGCAAGTTGGTGGAGAGCGAGCTAACGTCGAAACTGACCATCATTTCATCTGACTCAATCTCCAGACCCGAAACCTTTCGAGCTAAGTCAAAAGTTCTTTAAGAACGTACTCGCTTGCTCTGTCAAGGCTTCCAATATGCTAGCCCAATATCTATGAACAAGGAATAATGATGTATCACGGGTAAAAAGGCATGTGCATGACAAGTCCCGTGGGATCGCTGGAGTAAAAATTAAATGCAAAGGATCATGGAACAAGTAAATCGTCATTTAAGCGTCTACCGATTTAAATTCACTGCTGGGTAACGATAGTATTAAGTAGGATTGGCATGTGAACAAACAAATTGGTATAAATTGCGGTTGTAGTTCAGTAAATGCGTGAGCAACAAAAAAGGGAATGACAACGCTCTCTCGTAGGTTGCCTTATTTGACAGATGTGACATGTTAATCCAGTTTAGCTATATCCACGCTACTCACATGGACACTTTGAATGTATCCTCACCGCCACGTTGCGGACAGGGCCATTAAGCGTATGGTTAGGTTTGCCTAATTTCGTCCTCCAAGTGGAACGGACTATATCAAGTAATGCAAATTTGAAAGTGTTTCATCAAGGCGTTTTTTGAAAAGCCTTAATCTAGCGGCAAGGATAAGGTGAGTCAGAAGGGTATTCCATGTACAGGACACACAGAGGGAGAAAACGTTGCGTCCACAATCAAGTCAACTCTAGTATGCAGCCAGTTTGAGTTGATGAACTCTGAGGTTGGTATTTTAGCTCAGCTGCAACAGATTGCGAGATGGGTGAGTTGGGTTAGTCAGTATTAAGTAAACCATGATGAGGTCTCCTCGCTGACGTCGATATTTGCCACTGTGTGATCTCAAGGACTGCAGTCTCCTTTGATAGGAGAGATGCAACAATGCTCTAACGACTCTAGATTGTGCAGCTTCAAGTGCATCGAGGTCGCGATTTCACCAGGTACGCCAGACCAACATCGCATATTCTCTGTGAGGTCTCACATAAGCGTACAGCATATGCGGAAAGGTTGATCAAACGAAATTTCCCAAAACCCTTCGTAAAGGTCCAAGATGTTGGCTGAATCTTTTTGATGCATTTTCAACCTGTCTCGAGCAACCAAGATAGCACTGCACGACCATCCAAAGGTCGTTTTCTTGGAAGCAAGTTGCAACCGCTGGTACCCAAGTCGACATTCATGGATAAGCTGATGGCGTATGCTTACGACTTTGCACTTCGCCATGTTAAAATGAAGTCGGTTATCGGAGGACCACGTATAAGCCCTGTCGAGATCGCTCTGCAATGCCATGTGATCATCCGATGTCCTGATATCATGCCAAATTTTGATATCTTCAAATAGTAAGCAATTCGACTGCAGTACACTAGCAAGATCCTAAATGTATGTTAGGAATAAACAAGGCCCCAGTACGGATCCTTTGGGTACGCCATACTGGATGTCAATTGGGTCGGAAATAGAGCTGCGGACTCTCGCAATAAGCTGACGTTCAATGAGGAAGTTGCCGGTCCAACCGAGCACGGGGTTATCGATTCCATAGCTTCGAAGCTTGTACAGGAGGACGCGGTGGTTCCAAAGATCGAACGCTTTCGAGAAGTTCAGTTAGACAACATCAACTTCCACTCTGTAATTGGCTGACTCTGACTAGCTAGTAGCAAGTTTGTAGTGCAGGATCGATTTCGACAGCATCCTTGTTGCCGTGACACTAAGATGTTGTTGCTCTCGAGATATCCCAAGAGCACCTCTGCAATTATACGTCCCATTACTTGGATAAAACTGGGAAGAGAGTGATTGGACGGTAGTTCGAGGGCACGATTACCACTTTTGTAAATAGGTGTGACTAGTCCGTGTTTCCATATTTTGGAATCTACATTTCGTTGAGAAAACTTTGAAAGAACAGAGCTAATATTTCGGCAATGTTCATGGCCGCTGTCTTCAAGGCCTTCGGTTTGATGTCGTCCATACGAGGTGAGATGTGTACGCGCAATGACATTATCCTTTTCATCAACTTGCCTGCGCGTTCGATAGGTGATTTAACCCTGGTGGCGATGGGAGCTGTGTCAAAAGTGGTTGAAATGATGATTCACTCCGGAAGGTGTAGATGGAATGTTGGCGAAGCACATTGGCCGCATCTTGTGTAGTTTTCGCAAGACCATCTGTTGCACGTAAAACTGGGATCCTGCGCTGCACCCTCCGGATCCAGTTGACATGTATATACAGTAACTTGGAATGTGTGCTGAATTTCGCCGCTAAATTCTGTTGGTATTGGAGTTTCTCTTCGAAAATCAAGTTGACACAGTGGTTTTGTTGAGTTGTGTAAGCATCCCAGATCAGGTTATTTGGGTAGACTGTGTATGCTCGCCAGACTGAATCATTCACGGTCATGCTTTTTAATAAAATTCCTCAGGAATGATTCGATTGTCCATTTGCTCCTTAGTTCACTTGTTCGCCGAGCTTCGGAGTTGGGATGCTAACATTTCCTCACCAAGCTAGGTGACTTCGTCAGTGGGCTGCTGGGTCCAATCTAATCCGTTGACTTGTTCCTCGATTTGTGATCGATCAGCAAGTGACTTTTGAACTGGCCTCTATCTGTGCCCCGTGACCGTCACCGGTCCGCCCAACTCTGATAGATACGGGCGATCAGTGGGATGGTTTTGCCCCGGCTGTTGTTGATGTGTTGTTGATGGCTTGCTTAGCCGATCACGACGGTTTCTTTTTTAAAGGTGTGTTGGTTCCCTCCGTCTTATCGTTTGGTACACTGGATCAGTCTCTATGTGCATGTTTATCAAATGCTGCAACCCGATGTCAGCGAAGGAAGCAGCTCGTCGCCGGATCCGACAGCACAGCACTCCAGCCTAGATGGTTTCTCGTTGGCTTCGGACATGGCCTGGACCGCTCACAAAGAACACGAAGCGACCTATGTCGATCGACTGTTGCGTGCAATGAATCAGGCACACTGTGCACATGACCCAAACACTCGAGCTGTCACTCTGATGCCTCCACGTGAGTACGGCCCTGATGATACCGTGTCCAACAGTGGCTTCGTATGTGGATCAGAACCCTCTGAACTAGTACCCCATTCCACGTTAGGTGACAATTCTCGCCGGCGAGAGCACCATTTACTCAGTGCCATTCCAAACACTACCTGCGGCGACGCATTTTCGGACCAGCTGCCAGACGAGCAATTGAAGCGCCACAGTTGGTTCGGAGGCGACTCGACCACATACGGCAGGAAGACCTCTTTGTGTACCAAGCGTAGTGGTATTCGTACCGTCACTCATCATGACAATCTGGAGGGGACCATACTCCCGAATGAGCCCTCTCTGTTGTATAGACTATCGAGCTTCCGATCACCTCAGCGGCTTCAGTGAGTTAAGCCAGTAGATGGATCCGAAGTGTTACAACAGTGGCAGCAACTGGTCACCACCAGTTTCACTCGTGCGTTGTTCGAAGCCCCTTTGCCTGGAGTGCAAAGTCGGGCTGGTGTACAACCAGTTGATGTATCTACTCCGACACAACCACAAGTTCAGCACAGTCAAGCACAGTCTGGGCCCATATACTCTACTCCTTTACGATCAATTTCTTCCAGTTGCCCAGCTCAGGACAGTAACGCAGTATTCGATAAACGTGCACATAGAGATTGATCCAGTGTACCAAACGATAAGATGGAGGGAACCAACACACCTTTAAAAAAGAAACCGTCGTGGTCGGCTAAGCAAGCCATCAACAACACATCAACAACAGCCGGGGCAAAACCATCCCACTGATCGCCCGTATCTATCAGAGTTGGGCGGACCGGTGACGGTCACGGGGCACAGATAGAGGCCAGTTCAAAAGTCACTTGCTGATCGATCACAAATCGAGGAACAAGTCAACGGATTAGATTGGGCTCAGCAGCCCACTGACGAAGTCACCTAGCTTGGTGAGGAAACGTTAGCATCCCAACTCCGAAGCTCGGCGAACAAGTGAACTAAGGAACGATCGACCCGAGCTACCACTGCATCAAGTCATTTTGTCCATTTGTTCTCCGAGCTTGGCGGCTTGGTTGCAATGGTTTCACCACCATGCGAGGTGGCAGCTCCAGTGAAGTAAGATAAGGCGGCCATCGCAATGAGGCTGGACCTTACCGTGGTGCGATGGTTTGTGTGCCTCAGTGATCCATTGAGCTATGCTGGGTGGTGTTTTTGCACCTTCAGAGTCACTCATACCAGATTGGTCAATGGTTAGAGGCCAGACAAACTGAGCCTCCTGGTCCTTCAGCTTGGGGGTTGGAATGAGGGTGGCAACTTATTCCTTAAAACGGACTCCTTGTAGCCCAACGGCAAACCCGCTGCCTTGCGGACAGGTTTTTGAACCAAAGGCTTTGGTTAAGAACCCTAATCGTTCTCCTGTCTAGGCCTGGGCAACCTGCCAACGCAACGCTAAGAATCCTTCGTCAGGCAATTTCTTGATGCTCTGGCCACCGCAGAGGATAATCAACGGTGCCCTATATGCTGCATCGGGCAGGGTAGATGGGGGTTTGGATGCTACTGCTCAAGCTTTCCCGTCTTCTTATTCCCCCTCTTACGCTTTTTCACTCTTATCGTCCCGTTCCAACTTCACTTATATCCCCCCAGTTTTCAGCCCCCGATTCTTGGCCCTCCCCCAACATGCTTTACTAAGCATTTATTTTCTAATTTCAACTCACATGCTAACGCGGAGCGTCACTCCTCTCCTGTGAACAAGCCCATGTCCAACCAAGCGGTCCATTCCAGTTCACCGGCTTCCATTTGGAGCCCTCGATCCTCTTTCAGATTTCTTATGCCTGAATGTTCGCACCTTATTACAGATCGGTCAACGGGCAGCACTTGCCAGAACATTGGAGACCCTCTCGATCGATATCTGCTGCTTATCAGAGACCCGCCTGCAAGACTCGAGCTCTGTGCTCACTCTGCGATCCCCTTCAGGTGACGTAAGCAGTATTTTCTCATTGCGTCTATCCGGTGACGACGCAGCTTCGAGCACCGGCCAAGCTGTTATTTGCGTTGCCCTGAAGCTGCCCTGAAGCTGAAGCTGCTCTGGTTGATTGGATTCCAATCAGTAGCCGGATGTGTGCGGTCGGATTGGCTGGATCGTTCACAGCTTCGAAGTCGCGCGGGACTAATAGGTGTCTATTCATCATCGCTGCCTACGCGCCCACAAATTGTAGTGATGATTCAGTAAAGAACGACTTCTAACGCCAAATGACCTAGCTCCATTGCTAAAGAAGAAGCACGGACACTGTTGTGCTGGCAGGGGATATGAACGCACAAGTTGGAAAGTTGTCCACTGATGAAATGCATCTGGGTGGTCAACACGGTGTAGGCTCCCGTAATGATAACGGTGAGCGGCTACTTCATTTGTGTGAGGATGCTTGCTTATTTCTTGCGAGCACTAATTTCCGACACAGCACCCGCCGGAGGGTGACTTGGAGCCCTCCAGCCTCGAACCAGCCTTGGACGTAGATCGATTGCATTGCTATCACTTACCGCTGGAGAGGCTGCATCCGGAATTGTCGCACGATTTGGAGCACATGTGTGAACACCGATCACGCAGTTGTAAGCGCTGACCTGCGGATGCGTTTTTGCGGACGCCCACGACGACACTGTGAGCGCATTGACACCAGCCAACTGACAAAGCTAGCTGTTTTGAATGCGTATCGAAGTACCCTGACATGCGGGTTGAGTAATCGCTCGCTGGAGACAATTGATGGTCACTGGTCACATGTTCACCAGACCTTACTAGCAGCGAGCAAATCCTCATGTGGTATGTCTAATCGCCAACATAGACATTGGGTCTCTTCTCGGTCTCTGGAACTTATCGACGCTCGCCGGCATATCCCGGCTGGAAGCGAACACGATGAAACTCGCGAAGAGCTCCGGGTAAAACTCCGTGCTAGCATGAAGACAGACCGCGAATCTTGGTGGTCTCTTCGTGCGTCAGAGATGGAAGTGGCTGCTGCCCTTGGCAACCATCGCAATTTATTCCGTCTGATACGGGAAACGGGCAGCAGGTGACCTGGTGTTAGTGAAGCTCTATGTGACGAGAGTGGACAGCCTATCCACAATTTGTCAAAACGTTTGCAGCGTTGGGCTGAGCATTTTGAAAAGCAATTTAGTCGGCTAGAATTGTTCGATTCTTCGCAGGCCAGTGATTGCCCTGCTCCGTGAGCTGTCCATTTGGATCCACCCTCTCGTTCAGAAGTCGAACGTGAGATCGAACTGTCGAAGTTGAACAAAGCCGCAGGACCAGATGATCTTCCTCTAGCCCTCTTCAAATTCGGAGGCTCTGCTTCTGTTGATGATTTGCACGAATTACTAGTAAAACTGTGGGAGCAGGAAACTGTCCCAACCGACTGGAGCCGCTCCGTTATTGTTCCCATCTTCAAAGGAGGCTCGCGCTCGGAATGCCGCAACCAAAGAGGAAGCAGTCTGATCTCCATCGCCTTCAAATTGCTTGCCTCTAAGATCCTTCACAGACTGACTGGTGCTCGTGAAAGCCAGATTCGTGAGGAGCGAGCCGGGTTTCGTCGAAGTCGTGGCTACATCGACCACATCTTCACCTTGCGTCAGTTGTTGGAGAACCGTCACACTATATTGGCGGCCCACCGTAGTCGTGTTCCTCGACATCAAAGGTGCCTTCGATTCGGTTGATCGATGTGCCCTTTGGAATTGTCTACTCAGGAAAGATGTGCCCGAGAAATATCTAAATATTATCCAAGCATTATATGCGCGTAGCACGGGTAGAGTGAGGGTTTACGGCAAACTGTCGCCACCCTTCAATATCTCCAGCGGTGTGAGACAAGGATACCCGTTGTCACCTTTCCTCTTCAACTTCGCTATCGACGAAGTCATGGAGATTGCATTTATAGGACATGACTTGGAAAGTGTGGAGCTACTCCCAGGAGAACGACTTCTTGACTTAGAGTATGCAGACGATATTTCTCTCACCTGTGCAGCTCCCAGACGTGCCAAGCCGCGCTGGACAGATTAGCACTGGCTGTCAGCCGCTTCGGGCTTTGCTTTGCACCATCGAAATGCAAAGCGTTTCTCCAAGATTGGCAGGGATCGCCTCCTGCGCTGACTCTTGGTGGAGATCAGCTAGAAGTCGTTCGGAAATTCAACTATCTGGGAAGTTGTATCAGCGCCCTTGGGTTGGAAGACGATATCACGAACCGTATAGCAAACACTCGAAGTACATATGCTAACCTTCGCCACCTATGGCGGCGGCGCGACATTACTCTCGCCCTGAATGGTAGAGTGTACCATGCAGCGGTACGTTCGACCCTACTGTACGGTTGCGAAACCTGGCCCCTAAGATCAGCAGACATGAAGAGGCTAGTTACGTTCGACCATCGGTGCCTTCGCAGTTTGGCTCACATCTGGTGGGAACACCGCGTGAGTAACGAGCGTGTTCGACGCCTTGTTTATGGCATAGGAAAAGGAGATGAACCGATCAGCACCGTCATTTCACACATCAGGCTCCGATGGCTGGGCCACGTGTTGCACATGCCAGCCCACCAACTTCCACGACGTGCGTTGTTGGCTCACCGGGGATGTAGATGAAAGAAGAGGAGGGGCAACCACGCGATGACTTGGTCGAGAAGAATGAGGGCCCTCACTTTGGAGCTAGCCTCGATTGGAGCTTCACGGCTCCCTGGTTGGTGTCCAAAAGAAGGTGCATATGTTTTGCTGGATATGCTTGCTGACATGGCAAGGAGCCGACCTCCGTGGCGCTCCTCCTGTGAGTTTCTTTGTCCCTCCCTATCCCTTTTAGCCACCCACACCACCTACAATCTCATTTCATAGTGTAAAACATGATAATTTTTCTTTTTGCCTAGTAGCCGGCTGGTAGCTAACCGGAACGATGCCTATCCCTTGCTGGTAGCTCAGCTGGCATGCAACTGTTGCATTTATTTTCCTTTTCCTTTATGTATTGCGGCACAGCAGCTGTTTCCCACCTCTAGCTGACGTGTATAATGATGAAGATACGGCGGGAAAGCTTACTGAATGAGTCGTCGTTCCGTGATTGACCTGCAGGTGACTCCTGAAATTGGCAGTGTCGATTTGCATCCCGTTACCGCTACCCTAGGTACCAGTATTCCCAAACATTTTAAACAACTACGGACGTTCAGCGCTCAGATCTACCCGCCGTTGTGAGCATTTCGCTTGTATACCAGACTCTCCTTTCTTCATGAATACTTGAGAAAAGATATGCTTACTCGTAATATCATATACGTACCACCGATCGATCATCCTCAAGCGTGGACTACCGCTCGACAATTCGGGAGGCGTATGATACGGTTGATGATTACCAACGCTCACAATCGTCTCAGGAAATGTGAGAGATGTAT